ATCCTTTCATATGATTATAAGTTTCCATTCACATGCAAATTAAACTCATTTTCACAAGAATGGTTGAGTACCAGGCCTCGTTTTGAAAAGGAGGCCAAGGGTAATTCGGAAATGGGCTATGGCAATGCGAAATATTCAAAGTATAATGAAGCGATTATTTTATAGGAAATGACCCAAAACTCTTTCTTTTAAGATTGATGTTGTTGCATGTGCTTATTGATGACTTTCCTCACAATTTCTTTGTGTTTTATTCATTAATTACCTTTAGGAGAAAAGCCTTTTGTGAAAATGACTACCCCTTCAGCAACATCCACCAAAGAGACAACAAATTTTGCGCGACTCTCTCGTCTTGTTCTGGATTTTGGTACCCCAGCTCTGAGAGACATATTTGACAGAATCCACCCACCAAAAAAGCTTTCTTCAGTTCTGGCATCAAACAGTACTAAACTTTGTAAGGCGACAAATCCTGCGCAGAAGGAAAAATTGTACCCAACCAACGCTTCAGGATCAACCCCGCTACCAACTGTATCATCCATGGATTTTGACATATCCCTTTTGATAGTTCTTCTGAAGAAGATTTGTAAATTAAATCCTCCTCCATCAACCGGGAATTGGAATGATCCTCCCTTACCATCAGATACGAGTCAAGAGGCTGACATTGTCCGAATAAATTCTTTTAGAAACGAAGTGTTCGCTCACGCAGCCAAGGCTTCTGTTGATGATACAACTTTCACCACCATCTGGACCGACATCCAGGACGTAATTGAGAGACTCGGCGGAAAGAAGGCTGAAATGGATGCCTTGAAGACTGAATGTATGGATCCAGTTGTTCAACAAGATTGTAGAGATCAAGTAAGGCAGATGATCGAGGATGAGAAAGATGTCAAGGAAAAAATCGAAAGCCTTGAAAAGAAGACAGAAGGTAGGTTTTCATCTTGGTCGCTAGATTTACAGGTGCTAATGTCAAGGAACATCTTCATGATTGAATTTTGAAAATGTTGCCTACAAAATATCTCAAATTGACCCCAGTTTCGTATGTTTTTAGCATGAAATGAAATGTCTTCGTGTACTTATTGACTAAGTGGGAGGGTTTGACGGGAAAATATTTGGCTGAAGGTCATGACGTGCCTCATGACCGAGAGCCAAATATTTTACCGTCTGCCCGACCAAACTCAGTCAATAAGCATTTTATTACAGGGCTGCAAATAACGGCCGGTCAACGGACAATGCTCAGTCACTAATGATCGGACATTTTCTTGGATTACCGGACATGTTGTCCGGTCTTTTACCGACTCTTTCAGAGAAATTTTAACTTTTAACTATTTGATAATCGCGAGAGACAATATTCATGTTTTCGAAAGAAAAAAAAATCAATATAATGCTAGAAAAAGTCGAGAAGTTCCCGGTAGTCGCAAATTTTTCACAATGTTATCAAGTCCCGTCGCGACCGAAAATCATCGTGTCTTCCGTTATTTTGTTCATTTAGTGTACCCAATAGGTAGAGGGTTTTCCCTTGGGCTAGATACTATTGACTCTTAAATAAAGTGATTGATTGGTTGACTGAATGATCAAAAAGTACTCTCACCAAGAATAATCGCCCTGCACCGAGAATACTCCACGTAGCATTTTCATCCGGCAAACCCTGTAAGACATGCTTGGTTACCAAGCTTTCTGGTGATTTTATCACTCGATGCAACTCAAAAATGGAGCGTATTACACAAAAACTGGAAGAATAGGGTTGTCTTTAACGGATTCTGAATGGAAGAAAGACAGCGAGCGCAGCAATTGTATTTGAAATAAGACGCCATGCATATAATAAATGCAGTGCTGCCGGTTACATTTTAGTTAACTTATTTTTCAAATTAATTAAGAGATCGATTGAATCCTTCGGCTTTCATATTATTCTGGACATATTACTTTAAGTTCAGTTGTAGAAATGATGTGGCGATTGCCAAAACCAAAGTGTAATATTTAATCATAAGTGATTTTTGCCACATGTTTCAGAAAAACTTGATGACCTGGGTAAGAAGATCGACGGAGTGCCGGATGTGTTGCACGAGATGTTGGATGCGGGGAGAGAGAAAGGTT